TGTTATTCTTTGTATTTTACAAATAAGAAAATAAGGTACAGAGAGGTTGAACGGTTTGCCCACAGTCATAAAGCTAGAAAACAGCAAGGCTGTTTACTTACTTACTTAAATCCAGAAATGTACGATCATTAGTTCAGTATTCATTGTCTGAAAGAATTACTGATGAGTATTTTTATTCAATTTTCTTTCAAGAAGTGGGCATTTCTTCTATTTTTCCAACCAACTCTGATATCTCTTGAGACATAAGATTCAACTCCAGGGGTAAAGCAGGGTCCTGGTTCCTCCTCAAGGAATATACATAACAATGTATCTTCGAGTTCTGTGGGAACTAAGGCCCCCTCCCAAGCGGAGGTTAGTAACCTCAGGCTGAGCACAAGATTCCTAGAACATTGCTTTGTTACCTCACCACCAGCCAACCAGGAGAAAATCACACACCCTGCAACCCTCACCCTAAATGTTGCCTATAAAAATTCTTCCCTGAAACCATCAGGGAGTTCAGGTTTTTGAGCACCAGCCACAGGTTCTCCTTGCTTAGCCCCGCAGTAAATCTTTCTCTACTGCAAACTCCATTTCAGTTTGGCCTCACTGTGCAAGTGGCATGTCAACTTTTGTTTGGCAATACTTTTAGAGAGTTGTTCCCCACCCCCACCCCCAAATTCATGGCTCCCCTGGAGTAACTGAGGCACTAATAGGAAAAAGTAATGCAGGAAAAACAGATGTGGGGCGTGAAGACAGCTGTGTCCCAGGTCTCAGTTGGGTCCCTGGGACATGCCCCACCAAATGTGGGTTCTTTGCTTCGTGCAGGAAAGAATTCAAAAGCAAGCCACAGTTGAGTAAATGTAGATTTATTTAGAGAGATACATACTGCATAGAGTGTAGGCTGTTTCAGAGGGCAAGAGAAAGGCCACGAGGTGTAGGGGGTTGGGTGCTCAGATTAGAGTAAAAGTAGGTACACACTCCGTAGACAGAGTGCAGGTTGCCTCCAAAGATGAGGGAGCAAGAGGCGGCCAGGAGTGGTGTTGCCAGTCTTTATGGGCTCAGTAGCTTCACAGGCCTACAGGTGGGACCATTCCAACTACCCTAGGGAAGGGCTTGAGATTCCCAGGAATTGGGCCACCGCCCACTCTTGGGCTTTTTGTGGTTAGCCTTGGGGCTGTCATGACACCTGCGGGCATGTTATTTATCATGTTAATATGTTACAAGGAGCATATAATGAAGCTTAAGTTCTACTAGAAGTCAAACCTCCCACCATCTCAATCCTCAAAGCCTACTGGGAGTTGAATCTTCCACCATTTTAGTGTTAATTGCTGTCTGTCATTCCTTGAATGGCTGTGCCCTGCCCGCTTCTCTCCAGATGGCTTGCAGAACATCAGATTTGTATTGAGGTTTTGAGGTGTGCCAGCATGGACTAGTAGGAAGTGTCAAGCCAAGGTTCAGATTGTTTACCAGCGGGAGACGGTGACCAGTGCTGATACTCACTAGAATTCCATGCACATGCCACCCGTTTTCACAGTCCCTCACATCAGCATAACAAGGCATATTCCATATTAAACAACAGGACTTTTTACTAGTTTGAATGTTTCTTTGGTATTTGTTTCACATGGTCAAAGGATGGGTAAGGACGAGAATAACTGGGCTACAGGAACCTGTGGAGGACAGGCAGGGATTTTGTCATCCATCTCTTATCTGTGCTTCACTCTGTGGGTTGTCAGATATTTTTCCTTCCGCAGACTGGCTCTATCCACCGAGGATCTGGCGGTTGACTACTCCAGACATCAGGGTGTGGCCACCAGAGAGGGACACCGAATACTTTCCAAAATCTCCAGGATAGTTCTAATTGGTGCAGCTTGTATCAGGGGTTTATCTCTAGACTAGACAACTAGCTGTTATCAGTAAACTTCTGGGTTTTCTTCATTTTCTACAAGGAACTTGTGGGATTTAAATTTAGATTTAAAACAAGGCCAATAAATGTGAGTTACCCAAGACAGAACATCCAGAATGGCCCCACAGAGATACCTCAATTTGCTCACCACAGTGTGGGGCCCAGACCTCAGACCTGCAAGGTCAGAAGGTGAATATCAATACATACAAAGAATGGATCTGAATCCCAAGTGATTTTATCATTAACCAAGCTTTTAGGGCCTTGTGTGCATAAAAGTCATCCATGGGGAGAGAGATAATCACCTGTGGAGAGTTTCCTATATTTGCTGAATAGCATTTCTTCTTTCCACAGGCAAAGCCAAATGTGAAGCCAAACAGGACCCAAAGGTTGTCTAACGACCACAGAGTCAGAAAAGAATGAATTAGATCAAGAAATGGCTGGTGCCTACTAGCAAATGCGTGCTTTCCATAGACAACGCCAGTTCCAGGTGATGGGGATCCCTTCCTTTCCTCGATGCTCTGCCAGCCATTGCCCCTCTGAAATTATTCTTTATTCAGAGGTAGAATAATTTCATTACTTAGGGATATAACTTCTTGGTTACAATCACTGTTTTCTCATCCCTCTCAGAATTTCTTCCCAGATGACTTGGATTGGATTTGGGTTATTCAGATGACATCACATCATTTCCTCAGATCTTCTTGCATTTTTAACTTTTCTAGTTTCATTCCTGGAGCTTTCGGTTTTCAGGTCACCATATACCATCTAGATAGACTACTCAGTAAACACACACACGCACGCATGCACGCATGCACGCATGCACACACACACTCTCTCACATGGCCTTTTTTAAATAAAAACAATCTAATCAAAGACTAACTCTTTAAAATGCAAAATTCTTTTCATTTTTACAAGCCTTTAAAGGAGTAACTTTTATTTCAAGCTATTGGATATATTGCCATCCCAACTGTCAAAATAACCAGCAACTCAGCAACATTAATAGACACTGGATGCTTAACTTCATAATGAATCTTACTTTTGTAAATCTTATTATCACTAGCATAAGTTTAAATCTTAAAAGCAAAGAAATATTAAAAAGTAGTTATCTGCATAAAAGGAGTATCCTCTTCCAAAAACAAAAACAAAAATATGTTGAAACTAGAAAGCATGGAATAAAAATACAACAAAAAGGCAACCAATCACTTAAGGGGACCATAAATGACTATCAGAGTCCTTAAACACAGATGAGAAAATTCCTATTTTAGAGTTGTGTCTCAGTATATCCAACAACACCTCCCCCAAAGCCATTAGTCATTACAACAACCCTGTGAATTAGACATCATCTCCACTGTTCAGAGAGGCAACCTGTAGTCTAGGGAATGGCAGACGTTCTTGAATACAGGCTTCTCAACTCCAAAGTCTCACAACCACACTTTTGCTGCCTCCTTTTAGTCCAGGTGCTGGCAGACTTTTTCTGTGACGGGCCAGATGGTAAAGCTCACTTTTGCAAGTCAGGCGGTCTCAACTCTGGCCTTGCAGCAAAAGCAACCAGAGACAATGGAAACACAGCAAATCCAATGGGTGTGGCTATGTTCCAATAAAACTTTACTTATAAAAACAGGTAAACCAGATTAGGCCTGTGGGGCATAGCTAGTCTAGTCCAATATTTTTCAAATGGTGATCCATAAGCATTTGTTAAAAATGAGAAGTCTCAAACCATGCCCCAGACCTACCAAACCTGAAATTCTGAGGATGGGGCCAGCACTGTGTTTTACCAAGCCCTCCAGGAGATTCTGATGCACACTAATCTTTCCGATTATCCACACAGAACTCTCCTGTCACGTAAAGTACGAATAACTAAGGTGACTGATATGTCCCACTTCACCAGAAGGCCTCTCTCCCTCTCTTCCCACCTACCCCCTCCATCACAATATTTCTCCTCCTCTGGGGTTCCTGCCCCTATACCCCAGGGGCTTATGTAACCCAGCCCTAAGTAAACAAATACTTTGGCAAGTCAGCTGACTTTCAATTCTTTACTTTCAACGAAACTGAAGAAGGGCCTAATTGAACAGTCAACTCAAAGAGTATCAAATCAAATTTTCTGCGATCAAAAAATTTGAGTGAGATTGCTACCATAAAACTCTGTTCCCAGTAATAGTATTTGCTTATATGAACACAGTTTCTCAGGGCATACAACCATAAAAACTAGAAATAGAAATAAAATTATGTTCAATCCTTCCCCTTCTAGCAATGACATATTCATCCACAGACCTATGAATTTTAAAAAGCAACAAAATCTATTTCACCAAGAGATGCATTTTCCCATAACTTTTACATTCCATTGACTAATTATTAAAATGTGTAATATTTATTTTGCTTTGTAACAGTATTTTAAAGATAACTCAGTCCAGAATCAGGCAGTTTGCTGTCTGTTGGATAATTTATGTTATCTCCCCAGGATTTCAGTTTCTTGATTTGCAAATTGGTGATACTGGTAAGACCTAGTTTAGAGCTGTTCTGAAGACTGGGAGAATTAATGCAGGTAAAGGTTCTTAACGCCACGCCTGGCACATAATGCGTGCTATATACGCGTTACCTACTGATCAAACAAAAATACATTAAAACTTTAAAAACTAAAGGCTTATCGGTATTGCCTTCACCGTTAGGAAGAAGGTGCCGGAGGAGTCGGGTTCTAGACCACAGGCACACTCGGGGACTAAGAGGGGATGGGATGCTCAAGGGAAAACGGGGTGGGGTGGGGAGGAGAGACCCCTGGAGCTACCTGCCTGGAAGAAAAGTGGGCAGGATCACAGGCTGAGGACGAGGTGCGATGGGCGAGTTTAGAATAAGCAGCTCTACCTATGGTTCGCATTAGAAGTGTCTGCGGATCTCGACTGCCCGGTGAAACCGGAGCAAGAGCGTCAGGCCCAAACGCCACCGTGGCTGGAACCCGGCCCGAGTCTCGCTCCCGGGCCCCGGCCGGCTCCGAGCTGGCGCCCAGGCGGCCCTCAGGCCCCGGGAGTCGCGCGAGCCGAACGCCCGGCCGCCCTGGACTCCAGACCCAGGCGCCAGCGGAGAGTCCGCCGCCCGCCCCGCTTCTCGGTGCCGCTCGGCTTCTCACCGCCGCTTCCTTCGCAGCCCGGCCTCGCGAGGGCGCCCGCGCTTGGTGGCGGCGGGAACTGACCCCTCCCGGCCCCCGTCGCCGGACCTGGTTGCTATTGTCGCCGCCTTTTCCTCCCTTCCCCCGGTTCCCTTTCACTTCCGGGGTTGCTCCGGATCCGCTGGCTCCGTAACAACATCCCGTTGGCTTCCCTCAGGCGGCGGGACCGGTGCAGCCGCCGCCTCCCAGGAGCGCCCGCCCGCCCGGGCCCGCGCCCTCCCCGGCC